TGACAGTGGAGTTCCAATGGCGAGGGATTAAGGCTCTAGCAGCAACTATAAAGAATCTGAGCAGAGATTTCTTCACCTTAGAGATCGAGCAAGGGAAGACCGATAATAGCGCCATCTCAGGCGTAATGTGCAGATCAACAGAAGTAACCCTGGAGTAGACGTGTGAGACAGCTCGCCAAAAGGGCAGCAGCAGAGGGCAGCTCCACCACACATGGGCCAGTGGGCCCGGTCCAGCCTGGCATCTCCAGCAGTTGTCCGGGTACGTGGGGGAGATCTGGTGCATTCTGACCGGGGACCTGTACCATCGGGTCAGTAATTTAAAGTTCCACTCTTGTGCATAAGTCGACATGCAGAGTTTATGCGTAAAGCATAGGCATTTGTGACGGTCATCCTCCGAGAGGACGATTCCCAACTCCTGTTCCCAAGCGGAAAAGAAGTACAGGGAATCCCCACTGTGCGCGGTGATTAATGCTTGGTAAAGCAGCGAAACTGGGCGTTGGATTGGCAGACCAGAGGCGCACAGGTCCTCAAAAAAACTGAGAGGCCTATGGAGAGTGCCCGACACAGAGAGTGCCTCCACAAAGTGTCGGAGTTGGAAGTAAGCCAGCCATGAAGATCGCGGAAGCGGGTTGGGACCAGATAGTGATGTTAGTGGCTGTAAGGATGTTCCTGACAGACACTGAGATACATAGCAAGGTTCAGAGACCTTCCAGCACAAAAAGGTGGGCACTCCATACCCCGCCGGGAAATCTGGGTTTGCCAGGATCGGGGTCATGGGACCCCGAGGTACAGACAAGTTATATCTGGGCATCGTGGTGTTCCATACCCGTAATACTTGGGGCGGGAAGAAGGGAAGGTCCGAGCTTCGCGGTCAGAGGGCATTTGGTAACCACGGCAGCGTGAATAACGGCACCGGGGAAAGGTCGCTCTCCAGGGTGACCCACAATGCAGGAGCGCTGGAGTCAAAACAGGCTGCCAAATGGGATAGATGGTTGGCCCTGTAATACGTCTCTAAGTCCGGAAGGGCGGCGCCCCCCTGTTCCTTCCTCTTTATCAGGATAGTGTATCGCAGTCTGGGTTTCTTATTCCTCCAAATATAGCGTAGGATGGGGGGGGGAGCAATGCGACGGAAGGGGTATAAGGTCCCCCAGACGCATAATGCCCTATCTCACCACCCCTGGACCTCGCCAGGCTACCATCAGCATGGGATCATTGCTCGGTACAAAGAACACTCCTCTCCATCCGTGAAGGTGGGCACCGGTATGGTATGCAGACAGTTCACCGGAATCATCCTCCTGGGGGGGGGATGCATGCCCCAGAGCACCCGGACAGTATAGCAGAGGCGTCAACCATCCCCAACCAACACGAAAGCCGTCTGCCACCGAGGTGGATAGCGGGTGGTGGTCAGCCACGCCCACCGGTGCAGGTGTTCAGCTTGGGTGGTCAGTCAGCAGGTGGCTCAGACAGACAGGTGGGCTCACATCCGTCCAGGTGCAAGGGGCTGTAGAGAGACTCGGGTGTTGTTGTAGAAACCGCTCTGGCGACAAGGGACCGGGATAATGCAGTACGGCAGCTGACTCTGCCCAACAGGAGTATGGCAGGCTAAGTCCTCAAGTGGGGGAAGAAACATCCAATGTAAGTGCAAAAGGGCAGAACTCGGGTTAGCTGACCACACGACCTCACGCATCGGTCTGTGATAAAGGTGCGGTCTCCTGTCGGACCCCACAACGGCTCCTGCATGGCAAAGCGGGGATCCATGATGACTCCTCAGGTGGGGAGCTCCAGGCAGGTGGGTCTGCGTCTGGCCATGCATCGATCGTGACCGCCGGGAGGTTCAGCGCTTGCAGGAACTTCGGTACATCAGTCGGGGATCTGAGGACATATGACCTGCCATCTTTCCGTGCCACCAGATGAAAGGGGTAGCCCCACCGGTACTGGATGGCCTGTTGTTGGAGCAGTTGCGTGAGGGGTTTGAGGGCCCTGCGTCTGGCCAGGGTATTCCGGGAGAGGTCAGGGAACAACAATATTTGCGCACCATCAAAGTCTATGGGGCCTTTATCCCGCGCCTTGGTGAGGATGGCCTCCCTCTGTTGGAAAAAATGCACCCTGCAGAGGACGTCTCTAGGCAGTTGCTGGGCGGGGGTGCGGAAGCAAGACCGTGGCTTTGAGGTCTGCTAGGCCCGTTGCCTCAGGGATGCCCCGCAATCTAATGTTGTTGCGAATTTGACGGTCCTCCTGGTCGTCTATGCGGAGAGACAGGTTGAGCAGGGTGTCACGCTGTCTGCCTACCTCCTCCTGTAATTGCCGGACCGAGGATGACACCGTTGCGGTCGCGGATTCCACCACCTCCAGCCTGCGTCCAAAGCCTGCCAGGCCCTCCTGGAGCGCTGTCATATCATGGCGGTGAGAGGCCTCCAGGCGCGAGAACATGCCCTCCAGTTCCGACTTCGTGGGCAACATAGCAAAATATCGCTGGAACATGTCGTCGTTCCGCAGTGACGCGCTGTCATCCCCGGTCATGGAGGAGTCCGAGTCCGCCACAGGCTGCTGGTGAAGAGGGGAGGATGCCTCGGAGTCAGACGGGTCCCCGGTCTCGAGGCCTAGTCGTGGTGAGGCCGCGTGGGAGCCCGAGGGGCGGAAGAAGGCGCCTATGGACGGGATCAGAGCCGGCGGAGTATTCCGGGCTCTCGCCTTAGCTCCCTTCTTGCCCGTTCTGCCCATGAGGGTGAAAATTAGGGTACGGGTGAGTGTTCCTGAGGCTCGTTCCTGGGTAGATAGCCGGAGCTCTCACTCCATGCGACCGTTCACGTCCGTGAGCAAGCCACGCCCCGTGTGTTGACATTTTGAAATAAATTTGGATGCATCCGACATTTTCTTTATAAAAAATTAGTATACATTCGGATTTGTTTTTTTTTCACTTGGAAATATGTATGTGTCCAAATCTCAATTCAGAACAAAATGAATCTGCTCAAAAGTATGCTATAAAAGGTCACACAATCTTCCACTGGGTTTTTGTCCTTTAAACTGCTGTCTGAGTGTCACCTCTGAGGGTTGCTAGATATTGTCAAGGATTCCTGGGAGAGTGAGACTGCTCCCTACAAGAGTGTCATAAAGCATATCTCAGCCATGCAAGAAAGAATTGCTTTAGTTATACCTGTGGCAGGTTTCAGAAAGCTCAGTCTGAGTATAAAATAGATCTGTTTCACCTTGTTCTAGTCCCCACAGTGGAAAGTTAGTTCCTAGCTAATGACCTTATGAAATACTGGAACAGGTTGGGAAGGTAATCTACAAGGTTTATCAGACAGATGGAAGAAGCAGCAGATCAGTGTGAGTTTAAATAACGTCTGCAGAGGGAAGCCCTCTTAGCCATTGGAGGTAGGCCCCTAAAGAAAGAAGAATGCATATGGCAGGCCCAGATAGCCAAGTCCCTGCATTCTCTAAGAGTTGCCAGGCTGCACAGATATAATTAAACATAACCTTAAAACCAGATTCCAGGGTACAGCTTAAGTCTTATATTCTAGAGGCCTGCAGACAGGACGTAGCCAGAAGGTACAGAGAATAGCAGACCCTGACATATCTAAAGAGATCAAAACTAAATGGTGTAGCCCAATAGTCCTGGTTCCCAATCCTGATAGTTGGTTAAGGTTCTGTAACAACTTCAGTCAATTGAATTAAGTATTAATGTTTAATGCCTACCCCATGCCAAGGGTTGACAAGCTCCTTGAGAGGTTGGGTCTTTCAAGATTCATAACCACCCTTGAAAACTTTCCCCAATAGTGTGTTTATAGTTCTTTAACAAGCTTCAGGACCCAGTGTCAAAGTGCAAGAAAATGTCATGGCTCTATCTAAAGCCGAGCCTCCAACTCTCAGGCAAGCACAAGTGCAGGCTAGGAGTCATCCATGCTCCCAAAACAGTCACACAAAAGTAAAAAAATCCACACACCATAGATCCACTAGGCAAGACATGTCCAGCATATTGAAGCTCGCCTCCTGGAAGCTGGCCATTCTAACATGTTTCACCCCTATGGGGCTTAATCTGAGAGAAATGGTATCCCTACGATTAAGCCCCATGGGGGGGGAAACATGTTGGAATGGGCGGCTTCCAGGTGCGGTGTCTCGACGTGCTGGACTTGTCTTGCCTAGTGCATTAAGGACCCATTAACACCAGATACATTGCAATGCATTTTTCAACTGATGCTAATGGAAGGGCACCGAAAGAAGAATAGGTGTGAATGGGGCTAGTTCACACTGCTCCATTCTGTTGCGTTACGTTACTTTTTGCTGAAAAAAAGTAGAACATGCACTACTTTTTTCAGTGTAACATAATGCAACAGATCTGGTGTGAACTAGCCCCATTGACACCCATTCATTTTTCAATGCCCTTCTGTTAGCATTAATTACAAAACGCAATGGATCGATAGGAAATTGGAAGGTACAATTGCAAACTAATGGACCCTCCGTTAACTTGCGATTCCTTATGATTTTGACCCTTAATCTTTCATTAGCGGTGGATCTATGGTGTGCGGCTTTTCTTTTGTGTGGAAGCTTTGGGATCTACTGCATTTTTCTGCACCATAGGCCAATCCCTCAGCAGTGGCTGCAGGTGCAGACTATTAGCCTAAAACTTTAGATGATCCATGAATTAGGGAACATGTTCTGGTCTTTAAACCTGTCACAAGAGTAATAGTGATGCTGCCAGCTCTGCCTCTCCTGAGAATATAGGTTGCTTGATTGTCTTGCTAGACTTCTATTATCACTGAGTCAAGAACCAAGACTAAGCATGCAGCTAGCAAAGGGTTTGGCCTGTGTACCTGATCTGCGTACTTGCTCTAGGTCAGTGACCCAAAATATTAAATACAAAAGACTGTCACAACAGCCAGGCAGCATTTTCAGAAGGTGGACTTGGGTGGCTTCAATATTTATCTTGTGGCAGATTCATCAAATTTGGTTCATCCTGTTCATTAATACAATTTGATGTTGTGCATATTTTCAGTCCTTACCTGAAGTTTTTATTGTAGCATATTTTGAGAAATCTTGATCTTGTAATGGGATACCAGACACTATGTGTGCTCTGTTGTTCTGAGTCAGAGGAATGCCGATCTGTGTCAAAGGTGATGTCAATCCCAAATTACTGAAATGTGTGTGATCTGTTGAGATGCAATATACATAGCAGGTTAGACTGTTAAAGGTTATTGCTTGCTGACATCTATGTTAAGTTTTCTTTTATGTTAAACTGTTTTCCATACTTTTCTATTGTAAATCATGTTGGTGTATTACTAAATTGCCAAAGTATATATATTAGGTATGCTGCCAAGCTATTTTATGTTGGCGGTATTACATTGGCTGTAACAGGCATTAAGATGGTTTCCAAAATATTTAATTACCTGAAAGCTACGACCACTGGATCCACAAAAAAGTGAAAAGGCAACCCTGCACATGACCAAAGGTCATTGATACCTAAATGTTCAGGTCATATATAACAGCTTTAGTATACATAAGATAACTTAGATGAATTAGTCAAAGTTATATCTAATTTGTCTAATTAAGATACATTATGTTTACAATGTTTAAGAACATAGAAGGCTTTTTGATACACTGACTTTATAAATACCCATATCAGTTTTATTAAAAACTTGCAAATAAACAAAAATGTTTAGTACTTTTGAATCTAAACTCAACAACATTTACCATGACTTACAACACTGCAATAATGGCAAGATCATTACTATACTTACAGAAGATGAACTAAAACCAAATTAACATACCCACAACCTGTAACGTCCACAGAGAGAAAATACGTTTTTGTACATACGTGCTTCAGCTTGTATAATAACAAAATGTAAAGCAAAGTTTTACAAAGCGTTTGCAAATCTTCTGGCCAGTTTCAAGCATTTTTTGTTGAAGCCTTTAAAGCAACCATTAGCTCAAGTTTGGAGAGGTTATGTTCAGATCTAATGGGAATTCTAACAAGTTGCCCTACATACATAGGGGGGAATTTATCAAAACTGGAGCAGTTGGATTTTTTTTGGAAGGGGGGGGGGGGGTTAGGTTTTTGTTTTCTCTTACAAAAATATTGACCTCCCGACTGATACCCCATTTGCAGGACATCATCCATTTAGATCAGGTGGGGTTCATGCCCTCGAGAGAGGCGAGAGACAATGTAACGCGAGTGCTAGATGTTATACATGCATCCTCCACCCGGTCGAAACCTCTTATGCTTCTGTCCACGGATGCGGAGAAGGCATTCGACCGGGTGGACTGGACTTTCATGGAATTGACACTCAATGGTCTGAGTCTCGGTGGGATATTGATGGCATTGATAATGGCGGTATACTCTAGACCTATGGCTCAAATTCGGGTCAATTGTCTCCTGTCAGAAGCCTTTGACATATCAAACGGCACGCGACAAGGTTGCCCGTTGTCACCCATGATTTTTATTCTCACCTTAGAACCCTTCCTTTGTAAAATTAGGGCCAACGGTAATGTAACAGGAGTCGACCTAGGAAGTGGGGGTAGACACAAAGTCGCAGCCTTCGCAGACGACCTGCTCTTTTTCCTCACAAACCCAACTGTTTCCCTACCAAACCTGATGAGGGAATTTGAGCTCTATGGAGTGGTGTCACATTTTCTCATCAACTTTCAAAAATCAACAGCACTTAATGTTTCCGTCCCAGGTTGCCTGCTCACGGGCCTGCGGTCTGCATTTCCATTTAGGTGGGAGGCGGAGTCATTGGGGTATTTGGGCACAGTTATACCGGCAGACCTTTCCCGCACATTCCATCTCAACTTCCCTCCGTTATTCAAAGAAATTAGGTCGGACCTTGCGAGGTGGCAGGCTGGAACATTCTCATGGTTCGGCAGATGCAATATCTTGAAAATGAACGTGATGCCGCGCATTTTGTATCTATTGCAGAATCTTCCGATCCATATTCCACCGGCATTTCTTAAAGCCATTAACAGTGCATTTACGCACTTCATATGGGCTCACAAACCACCGAGGATTAAATCAGCAATCCTGCAACTACACAAACTCCGGGGAGGTATCGGCTTGCCCGATGTGCTCCAATACCATGCGGCTTGCCACCTCGCGAGGGTCTTCGACTGGTGTCGGCATAGCTCCCTAAAACAGTGGATAGGAATTGAGGAGGCTGAGGTGAGTGTTCCCCTGTCAGCACTTCCGTGGTGCGAGAAAGGAGTCAATGTGTCGGTGAAAACACATCCCACGGTTGGGCCGACATGGGCCATATGTCGCAAATTCTTCCCCACTGGAAATGTTTCACCTGCCCCTTCGCCACTATTTCCAATCTTAGGGAACCCAGGCTTCACTCCTGGATTGGAAAACCCGGGGTTCGGTAGGTTAGCTGAAACAGGCGTACACAGAGCCCAGCACTTTATTCGCAACCATAAATGGGTGTCAATAGAAGACTTGTCTCGGGAACCTCAGTGGCTCCCGCTGAAATTTTGGGAAAAGATACCTATATGCCTAATGTACATCCTAATTGTCGTGAATGTATGTTATATGTTTAAATGTCGTCTAACCAAAACAAAAAAACTACAGGATCCGTGCGATCGAACACCTATTGCTCTTCAGCATTGATGTTTTTTTTCATCCTGATTATTATATACTGTGTACCGGAATGCTTTGGTATTGTTCGGATGACCCTGTTTTTCCAAAAAAAAAAAAATCAATGCAGAATAGTAAATGAATTTGTTGCATACTCTGTGCTGCCACTCTGCTCCAGGGTGCCTGTGAGATGTCTCGGGCGGAGGGTCTCAGTAGGTTCAGATGCGGAGCGTTGCAGCAGGGGCAGATGTGGTGGATCAATGTCTCAGACGGAGGGTCTCTGGAGGGGCTCAGGAGGAGCACGGAGGTTCTCAGGAGGGGTGTGGGGGCACCAGCTTCAATTTTAAAATTTTAAGTGACAGTATCGGTTTTTGATATTGGGGCATTTTCACAAGTATTTCTAAAAATGCCCAGTATCTGCACCAATCTCTAATCTCTATGCAATCGATATCTTGTTAAATTGGTGAAATCTCATGAGATTCTGTTATTATGTTCTTTAGATCTGCCTGCAACTTCTAGTTGCGAAGGCTCTGGGAAGGCATTGACTATGGCTCCAATGCTTAAACAGAAGGCCTGTTAAGCAGAGAGCTAATCAAAGTAAATAAATGCTGCAGTTCTAATTACTTATCCATAGATTCCCAGAAAGGGGGATTAAGATAACAGACAAAGAAGATTTGTCCAATATAGGGTGAAAATAGGGTTGCGCTCATATATCCCCATATGGTAATCCAAAATGTTACAGACAGGACTACTACCTCTTTTTAACTCCAATCCTCTCAGGGATTATCATTGTTTAAACACAAAAAAGCCTAATAGAGCAAGCCACACATATGAGCCTATTTATAAACAATTTGCTAAGCCAGTTGTATTTATTTTACATGCTCATTAGCTCCATCTAGTGGCCATAATGTGCTATTATGTTACATTCCACCTGAGAAAATATATAATAAAAACATCTGTTTCTACCTCTATTCAAAGATTCACAGGGTGAATGGCCCTGTAAATGTTTATAAATAGACCCTATAATCTCATAACTTGCATACTAAAACATCCTTTGGCATGCATGGTGGTCACATGATGTGATGGTGTACTCTGCAAAGTCCCACTATACCCATTATGTTTTTGCACATTCATCAACTACTCTGATTTAACCCTTACCCTGCTGCACTCCCATATGCTGTAATACTGTAAAGATACCCTGTTGTGATTTAACCCCTGTTCTGCAGCATTCAGGAAATAAACTTAGATCAAATACATTTAATGTTAATAAACATAGAAAAATATTTTTAAGCATTGCACAAATGGCAATAACCCCTATATATATATATATAGATAGATATCTATATATCTATCTATATATATATATAGATATCTATATATATCTGTGTATGCACAAATATAGTTTTCGTATATTCGGGCATATAATAAATTAATTATTTCGAATTCGGACGAATTTAGTTGATTTGCAGGTTTGTCCGAATCCGAATGCACATGCCTTAAAGTATAATTAAAGTCTCTTATTTTTGGCATATATCTACTGCTAACAGGCAGTGGATATATGCCCCATGAATAAATTAAATGTGTCAAATACCTAATTACTTACCTGTTCCAGCAGCGCTTGCTCCCGGCTGAAGTACCTCTGGCTCCCGAACGGCTGTGAAGGAGAAGTGTGCGGGCGCATGTGCAGTAGAGGGGAGGGGAGAAAACAGACACTGAAGCTCAATGGACGCAGTTGGGAGCGCGCACGTCGGGCAGACACCATGAGACACAAGGAGTCTGCAGTGGTTTTGTGTTTATAGATACCCATAAATACTGTAACAGAAAGTTAAAAATTAAAAGTATTTTCTGATAGGTTCAGGACCAAAAAAACTAAATTAATCTCATACTTACCTCACGGGAGTATATATCCTATGAATTCAGAAGTAGTTCAACTTTAATCCTCCAGTTAATATTAACCATTTTGTAAAGACTTTAAGCAGTGGGTGTTGGATAATTTAAAAGAGGAGGGAAGTGTGTTTATATTGGGTGAATAGTAGCTGCCTGGGACATCTGAGATTAATTGGTTGGGGCTTAGACTGTGGGCAATAGATGATCGCTCGAAGGTCAAAGAAAGAAAGGGAGACAGAATGTGGATTGAATCATGAAATGAGAATAGAAGCTATATTGTATGTCACCTCTGACCACAATTATTTAATTGTACTCAATATAATGAATTTGTGAGAACCAGACAGTTATTCCAGGTGGATGTTTGTTCTTTTTTTTGTGTAACCTATGTATGTTTTAGTGTATCTTTTTTTTGTAGTTGTTTTACAAACATTAAATAAAGAATATATACAGTAGTATGGAAAGGGAGGAACTGATTGCCTATAATAGCTGATGGCGAAGAACCTACCAACACTGAAAACAATTCTGGCCCCAAGCGTAGTGGATCCACCAAATAACAGAAAATACACTTTTTTTGAGAATTTTTTTTTTTATCTGTGGGAGATGTTCACCATGTAAGAATAGTAATATACCTGGAAAAAGTGTATCTTTACACAAAATGGTAAAACGTGCTATTGATAAGATCATTTCTTGTAAAAG